ATAAAGCACCACTGGAGCCACTACTGCCATATGTCCTGTAAATACTGTATAACTCCAATAAAAGAAAACAAACAACGCCCATCAGATCAGGGTGTGTGAGTATGCACGTACGTACCTGAAGAGAGCAAGGGTAGTGTATTGGGTCTGGCTGAGATGGAGTTAATTTTCCCCATAGCAGCCCTCATAGTGCCGTGTGTTGTATGGTAGCTAGAAAGGTGTTGGTAACACCAGTGTTTTGGCTACCACTGAGCAGTGCTCCCACTACATGAAGGCTGCCTCCTCCCCCAGCAGGCTCAGGGCTCCAGGGATGGGCAGGATCTTGGGAGGGGACAGAGCCAGGACACCTGACCAAACTGACCAAAGGGATATTCCATACCATATGACATTGCTCAGCAATAAAAGCTAAAGGAAAGGAGCAGGAGATGGGCATTCATTGTTATGACATCTGTCTCCAGGAGCAACCGCTACGCCTATTGAAGCCTTACTTCCCAGGAAGTGGCAGGACATTGCTTGCTGATGGGAAGTAGAGAATAAAATCTTTGTTTTCCTTTGCTTCTGTGCGCTGCCTCGGCTTTTTGATTTATTAAACTGCTTTTATCTTGACCCATGAGTTTTTCATCTTATTTTCTTCCCCCTTGTTCTGCTGAGGAGGGGAGTGATAGAGTGGTTTGGTGGGCACCTGGCGTCCAGCCAAGGTTAACCCCACAGGTGGGATTTTAAGTGCTGAGTAACCACAACTCTAGACCAGTGAGCAAGGCCCAAAGACAAGCCAACAGTCCAAAGTGGGAAATGTGAAGTTGGGTATTGTTCATTCAGGTATAAGCGCTATGAATAGCTAACCTTGTGAAGAGATCTATAGACGATGAAAACTGGCCTCCAAGACCAGAACTTTGTCCAGCTGACAGTTTCCTTTATTGTCACCTCCAAAATGAAGTCTTTGCAGAATAAAAATGAAAACTAAAGTTTTTCAATTGTAAAACATCATTATTGTTCCTTCTCTTTTGTCATTATTTGAGATTAAAAAGCTAGAAACATTCCTATACCAACGTGAAACTGGAGTTTGAATTATATTCTGCATTTAAGTGTTTTAAATAATACTGGGTGGCATATATAGTTTAAATTTTCTTGACACATTTCTGGGCTGACAGGCATGTCACAGCATTCAAAGTCAGGATGCTGGCTACATGTTGGGTTCAATTAAAATTATCTAGGGACATAAATGAATTCTCAAGAGTCCTTGTCATCTTCACTATTTATATAGAAAAACACTTAAATGGAAAATTTAAGGAAACAACATGTTAAGCTAGGTATATTCTCTTCATTGTTTTAGATGAACTGACCTCAAACTCTCTCGGCATTTCTAGAGTACAGTTTTGAAAATGAAATACACTACACTACACAGCAGTGGAACCATAATGTATACAAAAGTCTGGCCCCCACTATAGTTATCAGCATTGCAGGGTATCCAGATAGAAATTACCTGGCTGTAATCCCCTTTAGATTCAAAAAGGTTTAGAGCAGACCAGTCTCCTTACTGATTGCATCCATACCTTCAGATCACTGGCTTTCCAAAGCGAAGCTCTGCCAAACAGCTAGCCTACTACAGCCTTGGAAAATGACGGCTGTGTTGTTAACCAGCACACTAGGATGTCTGTAGCTTCTCTTTCAGAAAGTGTGAGAGGCCCTGCACACTGCTTATATCCAGCTGAAGCAGCAGCAGGTACAACTTCAACTCCTGAAGTTTTGCCACTGCTGCCTGACTGCATCCTGCACAAGCTACAGCATCCCCAAGAAACTGCCTCCACTGAGCTCTCACAATTGTGAATCCAACTCCTTTATTGTTCCATGTCACCACAGCTCCTGCATTGCCAGGCATTTTCTTTGGCTAATAAATTCCCAAGTAAAAATGGTAGTGACATGCCATAAAAAGAAAAACACTAAATCATGTGTAAAAGTTTTATACAATACAACAGATCATTATTATTTCATCCATTTCCTAACCCTTAAACTTTACACAATAACCATTCAGCAAGCGTGCCAGAATCCAAAAGCAACAAAATACTTCAGACACAATGGACATGGGAGAGAAGCAGGGAGGAGGCTTAAGGAAAAAAAAACAAACCACTACTTTTGGTTGAACAATGCAAGCCCTGTCCAAAGATCCAGCCTACCACACATACGGTACAGCAGGTCCCCTGATTCTGCTCTCAGCAAACAGCCCTCCCCTGGCAGTCTGCCCCAGGCAGTCCCAGCTCTGTTCCCAAGACATGGTCCTCCTACCAGCATCACCAGGGGATGTGCTTCTCCTGCATAAGCTCCTTCCTGACTCTGACTGGTCCTGGGAACAGCCAATATTTTCTGCCTCATTTCCACCTCCTACAGCTGAGGTTGTATCCACACAGCTGATTCTCCTTCCTTGAGAACCATGCCACAGCAGCAAAGGCTGTGAAAAGATTTGTCCTCTGTTCTTCCTTCTGTTCATACCAGAAGAAACTGTCTGTATTAGAATCAATTTCACCATCAGAAATTACATTTCTGAAGATGACTACTTAGCTGTCATCTTCCACTTCCCTTCTTTACCCTGAAATGGGGTAAGTAGGTTTAACAAAGAACAAGCACTGTGAAAACACTTAAATATAAGAATCTGAAATGCATCTCTTGGAAAACTTTCAAACTTGTAATTTGTTTGGCTTGAATGTAAAAAAAAACAACCCCAAAACAACAGATCCTGAGTTAGACTTAAGGATGAGCTTCATAGAGCATAGGGGAGACTCAGAAACTAATTTGTATTTAACAATGGACACTATCCAGCTGTGGTAAACATACCTAGGACTCTTACAGTCTGGTCTTTGCATAAACCCGATGAAAGCTCGGTCAATGTTTGGAAAGTTTGTACATGCCAGCCAGAAGGACATGGAACTTCTGAAATGCTGCTTGAGTCATTACATTTCAAGTATGAAGAACTAGGTATGACTCTCCACTGTTGGATTACATCTCTTGAAGTTGTGCACAAATTATTACTAAATCAGAACAGCTGTGTTTATTTTGCTAAGATACCATTAATTACAATTAGAAGAACATAACACAAACCATGGTTCTTTCTGTTGCACACCAGAATGACAATCCAGTTACTGTATTAACGGGATAGCTTTGGGAGCTATCATACTGTAGGCCATCTGCAGGTGGTACATAAAATGCATTTAGAACTTCATACAGGGATTTTGTAACTTATCTGTTGTCCTTAAACTAAAGGCCTTTGATTTTGTTCTTAGAGAATAGATTACCATGAGAACTTCTGGGGCAGCACTTATCCTGCTTTTCAATGAGCTCTAGGGCATGACTCCTTTGGCAACACTTCTATCTTCATAAAAACAATAGTTGGTCTTTTAAGAATACAGTAGCTAACAGTCACACCTTTGTTCTGTGCTGATAAGCAATTACCAAAACCACACACACTATTTATGTCCAACATCTTTTGATCCAAGGCTTCCCAGAACACAAACTCTACCAGGGGAAGTCAACCTACAACTCAGTCAGTTAAGCCACTTTGGCATTGTCTTGCTGACTCCTGATTAAGAATTAACATGTCCACTGCTGATTTGTCATTACTAATGACAAGTTTATAGGCAATTGTTTCCAGCTTGTTTGGTTTCTCACAGCAAGAGGAAGAGGGCAGCAGCCTCTCCCTGCAGAGCACAGTGCTGTGCACACCTTGCCCCACAAGGAAGACAGGGTAGGGCCCTGGCCAGAGCCCTGCCATGACTTCTGTGCTGGCTGGCACGACATGATGGAGAAAGAGCTGCACAGTTATAGCGTGGGGGTCACCAAACCCCACCTCACTCCAGCCCCCTGCAGCCAGCCACCCCACAGACTGGGGCTGACCCAGGTGCCTTGCACTACAGCCAGGTTTCCTCTACTGCCACACAGCTCCATCTCTACAGCTTGAAGGTTGCCACGGCAACCTTTCACGATTAAGCATCAGAAATGCAATAACCAAGATTTAAAATGAGAAAACAAATTTGGTGCTCTCCATGTCACTGCTTCCTCTACGTGTGATTTTGCTTGGATGACTTGTTTGGGTTACTATGATAATGATCTATTTCAGTCCTATCCTGCAATAGTATTATACCATTTACAGTTCATTTTCTTTACTAGATGGAGAGCACTTAATCCAAATTTTTAATAAGGGAACTTCTGGCTGTGCAATAAATGAAATGGAAGTCCTAAGAAACAGTTTGCTGTATCAGTTCTGTAGTTTATTTCTCTTTATATAGTCCAAACTTCACACATTCCAGCTACAAACTTAGCTGCAGAACGTGACAGTGTATTTTCAAACATTATAAATTTTTAGTTGATAAATACAAATCAGTAAGCAATCATTTATTTACATACATATTAATAAAGCCAGCTGGTTAAGTTTTGTTAATGATATGTCATTGCTATTTTTATTTTCACCTAATTCCATTTTGTGCTGATAATAAGGAATCTCCTTGTTATTATTAGCTTCCCCTCAACCTGGTCAAATTGTAGATCTCAGAACACCCCCATTCCCCTTTAAGAAACGCTGCACAACCTCCAGAAGCAACTATGGTCCCTAGAAAGTCTATTGTGCTGAGAAAGCATAAGGCATCTGCTCCCTCATCCCAACTCCGTGTCAGAGATCTGTCTCAGGGGAGTGGAAGAAGGGCTGTCAATGATTTAATTAAGAGTAAGTTCAGGTAAACAAGGTCAGGCACCTCTACATTAGGGCAACATCAAATTAGCCTGTATCATCGGGGCTGGAACACTCACAAATCAGCTTTCAGGCTACATAGTCAATGCTGTGAGCAGCCTAATGGAGACTGCTGGGAAGTGTAACCTAGTGTAGACTTAATCCCAGAGGAGTACCATAACTGTAACCCACTTTGTAATGATAAAGGACCTTGCTGCTGCTGTGGACAGGATGAGACTGCTCTGGCTAAGTGCCCTACCAGGAGACAGGCTAATCCACAGCCATATTACCACTTGCACAGGTACATAGGCTTACCAGCTTCGAACAGTTTTGTCACTAAGAAACTGGCCATGAGGACCATCGGCATCAGAGGGCAAAAGGGCCAAATAAACTGGGGTCTCAGCCCCTTCATCTGGCGATTTAGTGGCTTTAGGACCTGCCATGTCTGTTCTCACCCATCCAGGACAGCAGGCATTGAGAAGGATGTGGTCACCTTTTCTTTTCTCATTCAACATTCGGGCTTGAATCCTGGACAAGACTGTGACACCAATTTTGGATACTCCATAGGCAGTATTTGGCCAGCCCTCTTTCTCATGCACACTTTTCTTGGTATCTTCCACAAATTTGGTCATGAGTTTCACTAACTCATCCTCGGTGATTGTGTCACTGCGAAACTTTTGCTGTAGTTCTTGGCTGCAGCGTCCCAGAGCTGAGCTACTTACCATACTAGAGACATTCACAACTCTACCTGGTAAAAGAGAATAAAGACTGATTACTTTTACACACATTAAATAAGCTCACACACTGAAGTGGGCTTGCTCTGCATTATGTATTCAATGCTTAGGTGAATACCTGTAAAAAAATTTTGTGTCGGCTATTTTGCAGAGCTTCTGTTAACTCAATGTCAAGCGTTTGTACTGAATTCCACTTACAGAGGGTAATTTAAGGTGTGAACCTGCAAAAGCTCTCTATTGAACTTCATGTATTTCTTCAAGATATAGCCTGTTACAATCTGTAGACATATTCATAATACTAAGTGGCTTTCTCAGTAATGGCAGCCATACTTAACTTTCGAAGTTCTGGTCAAAAACGTTCTCATGTCTGCAACAGCTTGAGTAAAGTGCTGTGAGAATATACCTGAGAAGCCAGAAGAATACAGAACTCAACAAAAGCAATCTAGTTCTTAATGCAGTGAGACCATCAGCTTGTTTACAGAATACCTGAAGATTTACAAATCCCAGCATGCAAAACTGCTGTAAGTTTTTATCTCCCAGCACTTCAGGACAGAGAAACAAGTCAGCTGAATCAGTGATTCATTCATCTTCCCCAATTTTATTTTACACTGTTTCCCTCTTTCATGCTAGTTCACTGCCATTCAGGCAATTAATTATGGAATGAACAAGAGGATTTAGATCTTAAAAGCCACAGGAATTAATCCTTTCTGTTAATGACTTTAACAACATATTAGTCCTTCACCCTTAGTATACGAGGACTAAATTACAATTTTGGTCCTGTTTACTCTCCCCTACCAGCCCTCAAATTTCATTTACTCTATCCTTTCCTTCCTCCCTAGGGACTAACAGTTCCCACTCACCTGCTTGACTCTTCTTTTATAAACCTAGATGTATTTAAATGCTGACATAGACAACATGTCATTCATAGCAGCAAGAACATATCCAAATATCCACAAAAATACCTAGCAATCACAAGTCTTGAAAAGAATTGTATTAAAAAACACCTTAGATTTGGTGTGGGTATTGGATCCAAACACCGTCCTTTCACATCATCCTTGATATGCCAATAGCATTACAGGGCTCCCAGGCTTCGAGAGCAGGAGCATTCTGTGCAAGACAGTCATTCAATGAGGACAGATTCTTTGCATGTTGCTAACACCTCCTTATTATCGATGCATCTATCTTCTTTGACCCTCATCCATTCTATTTACCTTTTTTTGGTAAAGTGCTTTCTTTCAGTTCCCCCTGACATCACCAAATCACAGTAACTTAATGTACATCTTCAAGTGCCATTTATAACTACATCAACAGACACTTGCAAATACAGCAAAGGCTATGATCTAGAGACAGACCAGCAACCTACTGATAAGGTTTCCTCAGCATGTCACATCAAACTCAGCTGAAACATTGTTTTAAAGTACTTCCTCATCCTAGCTGTATCATCAAGAGGCCCCTTCTCAAGCAAAAACAATTTATGTAGGCAGATATCATGGAGAGAAAATGGATAAGTTCGTCACGTCTTCTTGAGGGCACCATGAGAATTCCATGTCAATCCATAACAGAAGAACGTGACTGGCTTGAAAATAGGTATAGACAGCAGAGACTTTTTGGAGGTCATTAAAGGCCATCTCTTCTCTTACCTACAGTACAGCAAGGGGCATTCTTCTTGCTATGGAGCAGTGTGTTTCTGAGACAGGACAGGATTTTCCCATTTAATGAGAACCAAAATTCATTAAAAAAAATTTCTCTACTTGTTATGTTACACTTACCATAAGGCTTCACAAGAGGCAACAATTCCATGCAAACATTCCTGGTTCCAAAAAAGTTTGTCTTCAGGGTAACCTCTGCTTGGACCGCAAATGGAGTTGTGTCATGAACTTTTCATATGAGGTGGTAGCAAGGAAGGAGGGGGGGGGGGAAATCAATCAGAATTGTATTACCGTTTGAAAGAATTTACCAAACCCCAAAACTTTATCTTAGTTCCTTCTTGTTTTTTGATAATTCGGAAACAGGCATATGATCAATTAAAATAAGTAAGAAAAAAAAAAAAAAGCAACATCACTAACACTCAGTCTTATTAAAAGATCCAGCTCTGCAATACTATATTAATAATGAGCTAATTATGCTTCCACCTTTTCTTAGCTGAAGGCTTTAGCTTTGTCGCAACTGAGCCAGTTGTATCACTCTGCAGAGTCATTTGCCAATGCACAGGCCATTTGTCTGGCTTTTATACAGAAGAGACAAGGTAAGACTGCCTTCACACCGTGAGCTGCCTAGATTGCCCATTGACCTGCATGTACTTACTCATACCCAGGTCTCAGAGTCTGGGCTGCCGTTACCACATGCAAACAAACTTTGAGGTGTCCTCTCCTCTTAAATGCATAGCACAGCACTTCAACACCATCCTGACATACCAGGGGAGGGGGCAGAGCAGAAATCAGAAGGGAAGATCCTGAAATTAGGATGCTGCCACTGAAGATGTTAAAGTTAGATTACCACCCTGGTACTAACATCCAACAGCATGGCAGACAACTGCTTCTACATCCTGACTCTTAAGTTATCATGTCTCAGTCTCTTAGCTGGGACTTTAAGTCAGAGCAGTGCTAAACTGCAACAAACACTATAAAAGCTTCCGTAAAGAATGCAGGGGTAAGATTTGTTGCAGTCTTCTGCAACAAATGAACTGAAAAATACTTGTGTCATAAATCACACTGAACTGACAGATCTGTGCTAACACAAGCAAAAGAATGGGAATCAGCAGCTAGGAAAGGGAGCTGATTTAGGTAAGCATAAGCTGACCATGGAACTGCACTGTAAGGGTATGATTTCATCAGACAGAATTGACAGCAAAAGTTGGTCAGGACATGCCAGGACATGCCAATTGACAATTTGGCTCAGCAATATACCATATGCTATGCCTTCTCCACTTGAAGGGGGAAGTAAGAGTTAAAGTAACAGCATTCCTCCTGTTCCACTACAGGCTCTATCTCTGCAGTGATGAAGGCCACTATCTAGACTAGGCAGGTCTTCACTTGTCTCCATAGTTCAGATTTCAAAACTCAAAAGAGAAGCAGTAACAAGTAATTTAGTAACTAATGTCGTTTTTATGGCAAAACATAGCTTTAATGGCTGATTTATTTATACTCTCAAGCAATGGACATGGATGGCATCAAGTTGTACAAATCACTTGCTTGCATTTAAATCTCAGACATGAAGCCAGACCATGATCTATTGCAAGCATTATGGCAACGGGAGAAGAAAAGAAACTAAAGACCTACACAACCCCAATGTCTTACTTCCATACCCACCTTGCAAGACAGAAATTTTTCCACTAATCTAACAAGATACATTATTGTAACATCTGATAGATAACACATTCCACACTCCCTTGATTTAACAAACATTACTAGAATGACTGTTCTCACAGCAGCTCATCCAGAAGGCAACCCACGGCTACACAATCATTTTATACATTAATAGTTTTTGCCAGACTAAGGACTTTGCTGGACTATCTGTAGTGCAGCACAAAAGCTGAACAATAAATTAAACTTAATGGTAAACCTAATCTTTGACAGACAGAAATGACACACAGTACTACAATAAAGAAAGGAAAGCATAAATTCTGGGATGGTAGCAGAAACTTGGTGAGGCAAGAAGCAAGCTTGGGTAGAAACACCAATCTCAGAATCAAGAATTAAAGCCAAAATATGAGATAAGGATCACAGCAAGTTCTTACACAGGTGTTAAACCCTTTAGCCTTTGTGCTAGATACTTACACAACAGTTACAACTGGGCTCCTCTATCACATTTCTTAATTGTATGGCCTACTGCTGACTCATAGTAAGTTGTCAGCTTGAAGGAAGTCTAGGCTAAACATGTGGAAGCAATTTCTGAACTAAAAAAAATAAATGTACAATGCAGTAAAGGAAGTAACAGGAGCTCCACTGGTCATACTATTTTACCTATTTGTCTGTTCAGTGGCTCCACAATAATAAATCTAAGATCTCTTATCACAGATGACCTCTAGCAAATCTTGTTGCAGCAATTTGAGGAGCCTTTATTTCACCTGTCCAGGTAGCCACAGGAAACACACACTGCACTTCAGTTGCTGTAGTTGCAGCCCAGTCTTGCTCAAACTCATTGTCTCTAGTAGGTTGAGCTAAGGCCCTGATTATGAATTGAAGAAACACTGGTCTGAAAACCTGCAGGCTTTACAAATGATAAGTGTGGACAGAGATACAATCTTTGAACTGTTACTGCAAGGTTTTAACACCTCTCAATCACATCCTGAAGCTCAGACAATTATATTAAGAGTTGCCTCCTATTAAGCTGATCTTGAACACAAGCAATCTTCCTGCAAAGTACCATGCAAAATATACAGTGACTACACTTCAGAACACCATTGCTGCAATCCCACTACATGAGAAGCTCCACCTTCAGCAGCAGGTGAGGTTTGATCCATATCACCTGATAGGCCTCCTTAACTCATGTTGTGAGCAAATGAATCAGCACAACACTGTGTTTGAACAGTTACATGTCCTAACTGGAGATGAGGTAAAGAGATTTAAAAAAAAAAAAAAGCAAAGAACAAGTTTGTACTGGCAGGGAAATGAACTAGTAGTTAGGCTTATGATTTGCTCTATCTGGACTAACATGATGCTCAATTTGTTTTTATAAACACCTACAAAGAGAATGCACCCTTCTACCTTACAGCTGCTGTGGCTTCCTCACTGTCCCTGCCTTCCTGTCCACCAGAAGATGAAAGAGTTAAATTCTTGCTCAGCACAGCAAGATTTAGGTTAACTGTTTAATAGATAAGGGAATGGACTGAGAAAGCAAGACATAAACAAAGATCACAAAACTATCCAGGGCCAGAGGCTCTTTTCTATCAACTGGAATACTTGAGGAGGTAAGGCATAGAGCATGAAGTATGATGCTTGCAGAAGAGAGAAAACACAAACCCCTGAGGAACATGGCTGATATTCACACAGATGATGGGTTCCCACGGGCCTGGTGAAACTCATGGGCACTGAGGCAATAAACCCAACTCTACTCACACACACTGTGTGCCTAAAGTATTTTCATGCACTGTATGTGATGCAAATACAATACTCCAGGGAAGCATCCTTACATGCACAGTTAGCCCAACAGATGCTAGAGGAAGAGCTATTTCACTTTACCTTCTCATCATGCTTAAGAAGGTATGCAGCCTGCCCAGCCAAAAAAGCAGCATGCCATTGGCACAGACATCCCATATAAAAAGCTTTATAAAATTCTTAATGCATCCACTATCCTTCACACAGCTTTGTAGCACATAGGCCTATCCCAGACAGTCCACTTCCTACCTTTGAAAGCGATCCCTGCATTGTTAACCAGCACATTCAGCCCTCCATATTTCTCTTTCAGAAAGTCACGGAGAGCTCTGATGCTCTGCAGATCGTCAATATCCAGCTGATGGAAGAGTGGATGCAGCCCTTCCTCCTGGAGCTTTGCTACTGCTTCCTGGCCACGGCCAGGGTCTCGGGCCGTCAGGTACACATCCCCCGGGAACTGCTTGCATAGAGCCCGCACAATTGCAAATCCAATCCCTTTGTTGGACCCAGTCACCACAGCCACTGGCACGCTGGACATTGTACTCCCCGAATGTATGCTGAAGTGACAGTAACTGCAAAAAAAGAAAATGTCACACTTGGATGGACAAAGACGGCTATCCGAAAATGGACTGAAGTGTTTTTTTCTTTAAAATGCTATTTAGAATTCCACTTTGAATTAATTAGATTGCACACTAACTATAACTTACTAAAGTAGCATGAGGTATTAGCAAAGAAATAAAGGTGTTGTTTTGAAGAAAGCCCAAACAGTGATTAGGTAAAAAAAAAAAAAAAAAAAAAAAAAAAAAAAAAAACAATAATTTTTTTTTAAAAAAAAA